CAACTAGGACAGAATGGAAGTAAAAGAGAATACAGGTGAGATACAGATTGGCAGTTCAAGTGACTTTTACCAGATGGTTGACCATCAGTGTTGACTGATGGTGAGTTTGGGTTGTGAAAGGAGAGAAGTCAAGTTAGTGAAATATTGGTGAGAGATACAATGTCGAGGATTAGTAATCTGATGTTGAAGGGTGCAATTCTGGTCACTAAAGGGGAGAGGTGAACAGAACCTACTAGTGATGGGTTGATGCAGATATGGGGGCAGATACAGAACAAGCCATTAAAGAAAAAGAGAAACCAACCATTTGGTGTTGGTCCCCCTCTTCATCCATATGCCTCAATCTTTGATCCAAGTCAAATAACTGGTGACTCTCACCTCAGGCCTCTGTTGATAAATGCTAAATCAGTGTTTCTCAACCTTGACGACTTTAAGTCCTGTGGACTTAAACTCCCAGAATTCCCCAGCCAGCTGTGCTGGCTGGGGGATTCTGGGAGTTGAAGTCCACAGGACTTAAAGTCGTCAAGGTTGAGAAACACTGTGCTAAATCCATTGCAATAAGACCATATTTGGCCATGATTTGGAAGTGAATGAGTGGGAAGACCTGACATGCATTATTGAAAGCTGATTAAATGAGGTGGGGATGTTATCCTTTAAGGATTTGTCCACCTGGATCTTGATCCTTCAACAGACTCAAGATTGCGAAGGTATGGTGGCAATGGTCTTAAGAAACACCTTTCTTGTGACCAAGTGACCTGATGAAACACGAATGGCTGTGTATGATGTTGAACTACTCAGAAACATGGCTGTTGGTAGTTAGAGACAATCATTTTACAGTGACTACTACTACTACTATAGTTCTAGTAAAGAAGGGAGAAGAGGAAAAACTGGCCTGATGAGTGCTCCCTTATGGTGACAAAGTTCAGTCATTTTTCTTTTACATCTCAACTTCTAAATGAAATTCTTGGGAGACACTATCAGTATAACTTAGGTTATTGTGGAATTAAGAGTTATGGGACACAGGTGGGAGGGCTACGTCTGCAAGAAACCAAGCAAGCTCAGAGAGCACCAAAGACCCCTCAACTTTATCGCTAAACAATTAAACTACCGTGATAGTAAAGTAGCTGCAAAGTATTTTACGCTGTGCTACCTTTGAAGACAATTCAGGAATGGCATTTGGTACAAAATGCAGCAGCCCATTTATTGACAAATAAGAATGACTCTAGCCACAAAACACTTGTGCTAAAGGTCATGGATTAGCTTTCAAAGTCAATGTCTTTGGATGTCTTATATGTCAAAGTCCTGATTTTAACCTCTAAAGCTTATATGGCTTGGTACCCAGATAGCACTCTTTCCAAAAGGGATGGCATATTCCTCCCAGTAGACTTTATTAGTAGTTCCCCATTTCTGAGGGGTGAGAGAGACTGGGCTGAAAACAGTGCTTTTCTGTAATGGCCCCAATGCCACAGAATAGTCTCCTCACTGAGATTAAGCTAGCAGACATACTGGTAGCATTTTAGAAAATGGTTAAAACATTTATTCTTTTGGAGAACAATAGGCTTCGTGCAGTCTGTGTTTTCCCTTTTGTGGTACTTACACTTAGTGACATGCTTTTAGGTAATAATACTACATTGATACATTTTTATGTTTTTTATAATTCTAATTACTGGGAGTATTTGCCAATTATGACAGTATATAAAACAGATATTGTGTACATATAAAGCTAATGCTCTCTGGGCATCAAGGGAATTAAAAGATATCTGTGTATAGAAGAACTGGGAAAGCAAGAATGCAAAATAATCTCCAGTCTCAAGAAAATACTGGAACCTAGATAGAAAGTACACATTTCTAGTTATTTAGTTATGGTGCTGTCAGCGTTCCAGGTATCATGTAGAATTAAATCAGAGTCCCAGGCAAAACGATCCTTAAAGTTCCAATTTAATAAATCAGACATCTTGGCATTATGCTAAGAAATCCCAATTCTTCTATACACATCAGAATCCCACCCAGTTAAAAGTTCATGATCTTGTCCCCACACCCACAAATCAATCACATGATCTAATCTTTTTCTTCCATGCTAGCACCTACTCCCAACTGCTTCCGATCAGGTGCAAAGGTGCGGAGACAAAAGATGGCCTTGAGCTTCTAGAAAGGATTTTTTTATTTTGAAAACAACACATTCTACCCCTTGCTATTCCCCCCTCCCTTAATGAGAGTGTGGCAGGCCAAAGATTCTTAAAGGAACCACTGCAGGCCTGACAGGTGCATTATGAGAAAATATGCATCTCTGTACAACTATTTTAAAAAAAGTAGTTCGTTAAAACAAATGAATGAGAGTTGTAGTAACGGAAGTAAAAAAATTCATATAATAACATGGAGAGGACCAAAAAAACTTTTCAGGAGACTC